ACATTCATCTACATCCCTAGCCTTTAAAAAAATGTTTTTATTTTCAGACAGTCTCAGTAAATTGCTAATTTTCCTAGGCTAGGCACACAATCATCTTGTCTCAGTCTCCCAGAGTGCTAGGATTGCAGGCTTGTGCCTTCACGCCTGGCTATGTACTTTGATTGTAATGAAGAATAAGACTCCACTGGAAATTTTCTACTCTAGAAAGGTGGTCTCCACATTCCACCTTGGATAAATTCTCATTACAGATGGGGGACCGGAGGGTCAAAAAAGTGAATGACTTAACCAAGATGACTACATCAATCTGTGTTTAATCTTAGACATAAACCCTCTGCTCCCAAGCCTGGCACATCTGATTCTATGAGACCCCAAACAACCCTTGGAGTGTGAGTAAATTGTGAATTGCGATGATTTACTTGGTCAGAAGTTTTATTACTAATATCATTTAAGATAAAATTAATCTCCATAATTAATATAATTCATAATTGTAATATCACTCTTTTCTTGCTCAGATCATTTAAGGTGTGATATTAATCAGGTTCCTTAATTAACAATAGCAATTAATAACTTTCATTTTTTGAGTCCATGCTCCAAGCAAGAGATCTTAGTGCTTTAGGTAGGTGGGCACATTGAATTTCTGTGACAATTCAGGCACAGATAATATTATTAGCCCCATTTTACAGATTTGGAAAACACATATCATAGAGACAAAGCATCACCTAAAGCCATGCATGTAGCAAGTGGCAGAGCTAGGAATCAGACACATCACGAGCATGTGACTTCTCATTCCTGCAATGTACCCATCTACTGGAGTCTCCATGCGGAGTGTTGGTTTAGACACTGTATTCCCATCCCATCATTCTCTGAGTTCTCCCCGTGCCAGGGACAGGCACAGCTGGACTACACAGCAGTCTGAGGAAAGCCCAGTCCTGCTTGAATTTGCCACACATTTTTACACCATCTACTAAAGGATGACTCAATATTAGGAAGTTTTGAGACAGCCCTGGGAGCCTGGGGCTTCTAAGTGGAGAAACAAGGAAAAGCCTCTCCAGGGCCTGGCTGTCTTCAGCTTCTGGGGAGAGGAACATGAAAGGGCTGAGAGCCTGGTACCTTTGATGAAGCAGCGGACAGGAAATTATCAGCCTCGTGCTGACAAGGACAAAGACAAGAAAAGGCTCATTTGGGCCTCACCTCTGTCTGGATCGGAATAGGGTTTGATTTATCCTGACTCCAGAGCAGCCCGGAACTCTGGCTTCTTCCCTTGAAGAACAAGGCAGTGAAGGAAAGGTGAGGCAAGTTAACATAAACACCCCAACTTTTGGCTGTCTGGCAGGAACTGAATCTTTCAATTTAAGCTGTCAGTGGGTTCTCTTTTTTTTATCCTATTCTTTTCTTTTCCTTTTAAAATCTAAACTGTAATCACACAATACTCCACCCAAATGCTTGATATAGATTTCTGAGACAGATCCTAACATAGTCATAAAAAAAATCCCCTCTGAAATGCGCACTTTGTACTGTGTCTATGTGTAGGTGTGTTTAAAATGTCACGAACTGGAATACCTAACACTAGTTCCCAGGAATTAATCACTTAGAAGAGTGAAAGGGGGAAATTAACTTGCTTTAACACTTAGAAGACTCTCCAAAGCAGTTGCCAAAATAGAACTTGCCGAATAGAAGTATGGTTATCTTTCCATAAGAACTAGACTTTTCTTTTTGTCTTTTAAGTGGTTTTTTTTTTTTTCCTCTTGAAAATTGCCTTGCAAAAAGTTTCCCTTTGGCGCTTATCTGCAGGTCATGAATACACTGATAATTTTTAAAAAGTGAAAAAATTTTTTGTCTTTTTAGTTACAATTCAATTATTTTTAGTAAATGTATACATTTGTAGGATTACCACCACTATCCGGATTTAGAACATTTCCATCACTCATCAAAGTTCCCTTGTGTCTCATTTTAGAGTCAATTTATATTTATGCCCTTAACCCCTCAGCAACCACAGATCTGTCTTCTGTCTCTACAAATTTGCCATTTCTAAACATTTCATATTAATGGATGTTATGGGTTATATCTAGATGTTCCACCAGAACTTCATGTGCTCATAGGGTGGGGCTTTTGGGAGGTGGCTGGATCTAGGATGTGTAAATATGAATTATGGGTGTGTGACAACTAGATTGGTCCACTGATTGAATTAGCATAGTTCTGGGTGTGGTGGAATGGATTTATGGAACACAGAAGATCTAGCCTCAGTGTGGGTGGCTTCAACTAATAGGCTTGTAGCTTGAATGGAATAAAGAGGGAAAGGAGCCTTGTTACTGCTGCTGCTTTCTGCTCCTTGCTTCCTGCCTGCCCTGCTATGGACTATTTCTCCTCTCCCACACCCCTCTGCTATGTTGCCCTGCCTTGGAGCAAGCTGACTGTGGTCTGAAAACTTTACAAACTGAGCTAAGCTAAACCTTTCCACCCTTAACTTGTGGGTGTTGAAGTATTTTGTCCCAGCAACAAGAAAATAACTAAGATAGTGGCATTATGTAATGTATGGTTTTGTATCTAGATTTTTAGCATGCTTTTGAAGTTCATTCTCTATGTACTAACCATCAGTATTTCACTCCTTTTTATTGCTGAATAATATTCCATGGGGATAGATATTATGCCTTTTTGTTTATCCATTCATCAGTTGATGGGTATTTGGATTGTGTTTCTACATTTTGACAATTGTGAGAAATGCTTCTGTGAACATTCAAGGATGTGCCTTTCTGTGAACATATGTTTTCTGTTGTCTTAAGCAGAATCCTAGGCACAGAAGTGCTGGATTTTGCAAAGAAATAGTGACCGCTGCTATACACTAGTCCCTGGGATTCAAGGGTGCAAGTGAGTGGAAACTTACCCAGCATTTTAAAATTCTTTAAAATTCACTGATGCTACTGTTCATGAAAAGGATGGTCCAAAAAACAACTTTTGTCATTGGATGAATTCTGAACAAAAAGCAGTGGGCAATTTCCAGCTACTAGCAGATCACTGGTAACCAGGATCATCTCGAGATGTCCCTCCAAACTGGAAGAAATAAAACTTTCCTCATGGGTCAAGAGTTGTTTGTCACATCACGGACCCTGTGTATCTTTGTACATATGTGCGTTGGTTGATGACTATACGTTTCCTGTTTCCTTTATGCCCACGTTGGGGGGGGGGGAGGAACAATCCAGCCAACAATTTGGACCCAAACAAAAGCAAAGCTGAGTACGTCTAAGGGAGAGTCAGAGCCTCTTTCTTCCTCTCCGGTGTAATTTCACTTACAAGTGAAAATGGCTAGATCAGAGCACTCTGTCGCCTCACCACGTGCTGATAGAGCGCAGACTTTTGGCAAGTATTCAGGTTTAGGGCTTAAGACGGACCGCAGCGATCCACAAAAAGTCAGAGCCAAAGGAAAAGGCAGGTCTGTGGGAAGGTCTCGGATCCAGACCCGAAGGAGTAGGCAGAAGTTGGACGGCATCATCGCCTCACTCTAGGGGGTGCGGGTGGCCCAGAGTCCCTTCCCCTTGGACAACAGTGAGGGTGTTGGGGTGGGGGTAATCAGAAGAGTAAGGGAACTGGCGGCTTGAAACGCAGGGCCGCCTCCACCTAGTGACAGACGCGTCCTCCTGGTGCAGGATTCAGACAGCGGTGCGGGCACGCAGTGCCAGAGATCCTGAGAAAAATGCGGGCAGGAAGGAGAGTCCTTCGGTGGAATCCAGCCTGGCAGTGTAAAGCCGGGACCCAGGGGGCCCCAAGAGCTGGAGGGTGGATTCCAGCAGTGCCCCCCTCCCCCCCTCTTGGGACGTGGGCCCCTAACCGATGCGCCCGTGGTCCGAGTATTCCTCTTTCCCTCTGGCTTTGCTTTCCTCTACCTCCCGGGCCCCTTACGCTTTTCTTGCCGCCTGGCTCTGGCGCCCAGCTTACCCCCCTGCCCCTTCCCGGCCTTCCCTCATCCCTGGTCTGCCACTCCCCCTCCTCCGCTCCCCAGGTTTTTTTCCGGTCCCTCCCGGCGGTTCCTTTTCATCCCTTACCCGTCTGCATCTCCGCTTTCCCTCTCTCTCTTCCCTCCTGTCACCCCTGTAAACTTGTCCTGGGCAGGGGCCCCCTCGTTCCCGGTCACAGTGAGTCCCCGCGGCTCCTCGCCCCGCACCGGGAGCGCCCCGCCCAGCCCCTGCCTGGACTCCCAAGATCCGGCCCCGCCGGCGCTTTCTCCCGGAGACTCCGCGAGGGCGGGCAGGAAGCAGGCCTGGTCTCTTCCCCGCAGCGGTCCTTCTCGGTGAGGGGTGACCCGGCGGACCCACCGAGACGCGCACCCCAGCTCGCCCCACAGGCCCCCCTCCTGCAGGACTCGCTCTCTCCAGAGAGCCTTAGCGGGTCTGAGGCGACTCGTGGGGGAGGCAACAAGTGACAGTACCTGCGGGGCCACTGGTACCAGGCCGGGGCAGGGATGGAAGAACCCCGTTGGGGTGGCGGTGGGAAGGAAGCTGACCCCAGCGGAGCGCTCCTCTGTGGGGGAGAGAACTGGGAGAGCAGAGCCTTCCCTTTGGCTTCACCACAGAGTTTGCAAAGGGCGGGGGGGGGGGGCTGTGCAGGAGTCGCCGCCCTGGAGGGATTTTCAGAGGGGAGGGTGGGACAGCGAGGGAGAAGAGATGCGCTCCCCAGTTCCCCAGTGCGTCGTGCCCTTGGGCGCTGCGCCCCGCAATCCACCACCACCCCGCCGGCCTGCCAAGGACCCGGCCTGACCAGCTGGAGCAGACTTGCGCGGGAAGGAGGAAAATGGGGGCTCCGCACCCCCGTCCAGCTCCTCTCTGTCTCCCTCCCTCCCTGATTGGCTGCGAGTCCCTGGAGCCCAACTTCAGGCACTCCAGACTCTGCCCGAACCCCGAGGGCGTCGGAGCGCCACGACCGGGGCGGGAGGGGCAGCGGCGCTCAGAACTCGGGGGAGGGGCGGGGACAGGGTCGGCCCCGCCGCCCCCGAGAGCCCGGCTCTGCTCGCCGCGTCTCCAAGCCTCGGCTGCTCTCCGCCCCCCGCCCTTTTCTTCCCTCCCAGTGGCGGCCTCCCTCCTTCTCCCCCCTACCCGTCCGCCCGCCCGCCACCTCCCCCCGGTTTCTCGTTTCTGCCACTAGCGCGCTCGGCGGCTCATTCCTCGGCCGCCGCCAGCAGAGGGGAGCGACGCGGGCGGAGGAGCAGACGCAGCGGGGGCCGCTCGCAGCCGCCGCCGACTTGTGAATGGGACCCGGACTGGGGCCGGGGCTGACAGCTCTGCGCCCGCCCTGCGCCAGGGGCCAACGACCGGGTGGTTGCGTCCGCCGCAAGGGGCCCAGGTAAGGCGCTCCGCCAGCGCCTTCCGCTCTCCTGGATGGAGCTTCTCGGAGCGCGTGCGGCGGGGTGGGGGCGATTTCCTCAAAGAGATGGTCTTGGGAGGGGGGAGGCTGGTGTCTAACTGGAGGAGCCTTCACTAGCGCGAAGCGGGGTGTGTGTAAAAGACTTGTTTAAACATCAGACTGGAGAACGGAGCCAGCTGCGGGCGCAGACATCCCAGGGGCCAGAGGCTCCAGATGCAGATGTGCCCCCCGCCACTCTCCTTGGCTCTGGTCTCCGGGCTCTGAGCCTAGGCCCTGCCACTGGGGTTTGCGCCCGGCGGGGAGAAGAGGCTGCAGAGCTGAGCCCTGGTCGTGTCTCGGGGAAGTCGTCCCCAGCGCGCTGCCAGCCCGCGCTCGCTGCGCCCCTTTCCGAAAGCAGCGGCCAGACCACTCTCTGCGGGTCCCTACAGGGTGCCCCCGGATCTTTGAGGACCGCTCCCTAGGGCTCAGCCTCTCTGGTGGAGACTGCTGGGGAAGACCTGAAAAAGGTGAAAGAGCCAGTGTTAGAGTGGCGATGCGATGCGACGCGACTCGGGCCACTTCAGCCGGGCGAGTCCGGGTCCGCTGACTGCGGCTCGGGGCCGCCTGCTGCGGTGCGCGCTCGGGGTCTGGAGCCGACGTGTCTCCGGGAGCTCCGGGGATCGTTTGTTAGCTCCCAGAAGCCTAGGGGTCGGTCTGAGAACGGCTGAGACTCGAGCTTGGGTTGAGCTTGGGCTTGGCGATTCTGGCCAGGGTGAACGTGAACTTTGCGAACCAAAGCTTCCCGAAGCCTGCGCCTCTTCTCGGAGCGCGCCGAGGCCCTCCAGCCGCGGCACGCACGGCTTCCCTCCTTGCGCGGTGCCCCGAGAACAGAGCCTGGACGTAGGCAGCGAGGAGAAACCTGCAGGAAAGGGACCTCGGAGAGGAGAGCGCCCCTCCTCCTCCCCCTGCCCGGAGGGGCTACAGAGGGGCCGCCTCTGGCGGGGAAGCTGACTCCCTAGAGGAAGGGTCCTGGAGGCCCTAGGGGCCAACTTCCCTGTGTCTTTCTCAGCAGGGCCCTGATTTCCGTAGCCGGGGGCTCCGAGTTCCTGGCTCTCCCGGGTTAAAGGTTTTCTAGATGCTAGAAGAAGCACTGTTGCTTTTGGTGATAATGCAGCAGGAATTTCACAGGCCATCACTCTGCTGGGAAGAAATTGAATGTTGCTATTCCTGCAGGACGACAGGTCTTTCCCTAAGGGTGTTCGTGTGCGTGCGTGCGTGCGTGCGTGCGTGTGTGTGTGTGTGTGTGTGTGTGTGTGTGGTGAAACCCTATTGTCACAGGGTATAGATTTGCCTAAAGTCTTCCTTCCATCGCCTCCTGAAGAAACCTTGTTTCAGTGGCTGTGAAGTCTTTTCTTGTTTTCTTCTGATCCTTCTTATCGGTTTAATATGAGGCAGGGAGTGAGTTTTCGGTTTAATCACAGGGAAGCTACGATAATTAATCTGGCGAGAGGCTGGATCAATTTCCTTATCACTAGGGCTTGCCACGGACCTCGATGGTTTTGCAGAATGTCTGGATTTCCCGGGAAGGGGACGCAGATGTGTTCTCAGGAGCGAGGATCCTCATTTCACATCAGCATATTTGCCTAGCTGGGCTCAGCGCTGGAGCCCAATTCCACGGAAGAGGAATGCAGTAGGGGCTGACCTTCATTTAATGAATCTTGGAATTATTTCCCCTACAACTGTGGAGGTGCAGACACTAGAACACAGATGTCACCGCTCACCCCAGCTGCAGGAAGCCAGGTCCTCTTCCAGTAGAACAAAGGGATAAAAGTTGCAAAACAAAGGGACAGGGGTAGTGGGTGATTCCAAAGGGACTCTGAAGCTGCAGCCACATTAAGTTCCTTAAATATAACCTGAGTCCAAGTGTTCAAACTGACCGGTAGGCCCTGGAATTCGACCTTCTGTGAAAAACTGAAATCCTTGCTAGTACAAAGGAATTCGAGGAGTTTTCAGTGGGGACCAGGCAGAGGCACCAGAGGCCAGGAAACTTTGCTTCAGTGAGAATGAGCTTTACATCTGTTTTTTTCCAGTCATTGAAAATTAATACATTAAAACTGCCTTGCAGCCACATTTTATGATTAATAATCTTTATTGTCAATATTTTAGTTGTTATTTCAGAGTCTGCATACACTGTTGAGTTTATCATATTTTTTAGGGGCGTAGGGCAAATGAAAGAATGCATAGGAGGAATTGAGAAGAGATAATCTGGGGAGGCCCAGGCATGTAGATTTATTCAAACTGAGTTTATTGCTTCTTAGAAAAATAGGCTTTTAAAATAGTTCTAATTGAAGCAGTGGACCATCTTGATAGCACTTCAGAACTTTCATTATGTTCACCATTCTTATCAGAACACCAGACAGTAAAATTACTAGAAACCTAAATTCTATTTTCAATTATAAGATGCTATCTTTTTGTTAATTTGAAAAAAAAAATTAAGAAGTTACAGCTCTATTTTATGTGACCCTGAACTCATATTTTCCCCTTTGCTGTAGTGGCTTCAGATGTATACATTCAACTGTTTATTTGTGGGAGGAAGGAGGTAGATTTGAAGAGCTTTGCCATGAACTGGGGGAATAGGGATCAATTTCATGCTCTTTTAATGCACACGTCTTCATAATTCATGGTTTTTCTTTCACTTTGAATAGAATTACATGGCTACTTTGTCAGGATTCTGCTTTGGGGTCCCTCATATGGGAAACGCCGTGACTTTGACCTCATGGGCTGATTTACAATGGCCCAGTTACACTCCCAGGAGCATGGTGTGTCTTGGAACCTTGCCTGTGAACACCAGTGAATTCTGAAGCTCACAGTTCACACAAACTTTGATCTGTTATATTCAAATCTATTTTTCATACACATTGGGACAAGATCCACAACTGACTCTAGTCTTCATTATCAATGCATTGATGTGGGTAGATATTTGAGATGTATAAGACTTCATTTGACTCTACGTTCCATATTGATATTTTCCTTTTGATCATAAGCATATCCAATCATTAAGTAATAATAACAAAACAATGCTTTATAGAGTTGAAAGTAGACAGCAAACCTTTTTCTTGAGCCGTCAAATTTTCAGAATGAATGAATTCCCATTTTTTTCCCCTTAGAAAATTTAAGCACTGTGTTTCTTGACTAGCCAATGATTTAAGGGACTGAAATGTATTTGGGATGCACTTCTCCCTTATGAAGTTGGTCGTTGCTTTGCAAAAAGTTAGCTAATTTGTTAAGAACTCCCATTCTTTATTTACTCAGGATGGTGAGTTGTCAAACTTTCCGACTCAAAGTTGATGTCTGTGAAATATATAAAGATATTCGCTCTGTATAATTTGTGGTTTGACTGATTAGGAAAGAAAAAATCAACAGGTCTGTTAAAAAGGAAAGAAAAAGATGGAGAAACTTGGATATATCCTAATGCACGAGGAGGAGCAGGAATGAGCTGTTCCCTCAGGATAACTGTGATAGCCTCCTCTATGAGCAGAAAGAACTAAAGAAAACACTCGAGGACGATAATTAACATCTTTCTGCTATAATTTTACCCAGACATTGCGGGTCTTGTGCATCTCTGGAAATGGACTCCTTCGCGGAAGATGGCACTTATGGCCACTAGAGGGCAATAGCGCCCTTTTCCAACTTTGTGCATGGAGCCCATCTGCTTTTGAGGGCACCATGAAAAGCGGTTTTGTTACCACCATCCTTGTCTGGACCACTCCGGAGAGAACGAATTCAATCTAACTATGGTTCAGGCTCCTGCTCCAGCAGTTTGTGAGGATCAGCATTTTTCTAGTGGTGGATCTCCTTACCTTCAGTTCCTTCTTCCCACCTTGGACATTGGTAGAAAGTTGGAAAAACCTTGTAACTTGAGAGATTGAGCAGAAACCAGGGTGGGGGCTGGGCTGCAGGATAAACAAGGTTAGCTCTCTCTGAGAGGCCTTGATCTGGGAGGATTTTCTTTTTTCCGTTTTTTTTTTTTTTTTTGTTTTTTTTTTCTGGCAGGAAGAGCATCATTTCTGACTCCGAAGGGAACGGAATGAATGAAGAAGAGATATATTAGTGAGAATGCTGTAATATCATTGCCTATTCTTTCAAGAGGTTTTGAAGACATCTACAAGACCTATCTAATTTGCATAAAAGAATACCATTTTGATCTTCGGTAAACACTTTGGGGTATAGAGTTTTACTATAACAGTAAATGTTTTACTATTACCTTTAAACCATTCTTGATATTGCTGTAAAAAAAAATCTAACGTTAGGAGAGAGTAAAATTTAATTCAAGATTGGTCCTTATGCACTGGAGCTTAATCATTTGATTTTTTTTTCTCTCTTCAGTGATATGGAAATTACGGGCTTATGATTAAATTGCATATTTCAGGCTGCACACATTTATATTTGTTACTGTATCATTATGAAAGTTCAGAAGAATGAAAGAAAAACTAGTGCTATATTATAATTAAAAGGAAAGTGCTATTAAAAACAAGTACAGTGCTCTCTTAAATGGGTACTTATTAGTATTTTTTTAAAAAAACAGTACAGTTGCCTTCCTGGTGATTCAGCAGTGGAATTCTTTGCATCTCTGTGCTGAGTTGAAATGCCAGGAGAGTTGATGAAGAGAAGATCAATGCAAATGGATTATGGGAGGGAGTATTAAGTCACTCAGTGGAAAGTAAGACAAAGTGTTTGTAAAGTGATGCTCACTTACCACTGGACAGTTTATTTAACTTACAAAAAAAAAAAGAAAGCAATTTTAAATTCTAAGTGCTTATGAGTGATGCATGTTTGTTAGACCTGGAGACAAAATTTCATTATTATTTGGCATAATTATTTCCCAATTATAGGATTCTGGGATTCTTACTGAGATAAGGCATTGTTCGTTCTCCTTGTCTGTAGGGTTAAGGTTTCTGGGGTAGATCTTGGTACATCAGCATATTAAGGGAGATAGGAAT